GCCAATTTAGTTATTTTTTCATAACTGTTCCACCCTTCACAGTTAATTAGCTACCTTTCTTTCAGTCATGGTTATTCGTTGGTATGTCAGTATGTTTCATTTCCGTAACAACTCAATTTCCCTATCTGAGTCACTTTGTGGGACAGGGATTTGCTTCAGTGCACACACTGCAGCACAGAATATGGGAATGACAATACTTGGGATTTAGTGGTTTTGCTGATTCAGTGGCTATCTGGCCCTTGCAAACAAAATCCAATTGCTAGTTGCTTAAGGGATGGCTGTACTGCAAGCTTGCATTATGAATTAATAATGAAGATGCTGGTGATAAGACTACACACAAAGATTTTTCAGATCATGAAGCAGTCCGGTTCTAATTTCATTGGGATCTTTCTCTGAATAAGGTACACCTGGAGTAGTAAATATAAAATAATTATAATGCCAAAAGATCAAATCACACAACAGTGTGGGGTTTTTTTTACAATGAGAAATGAGTTGAATGTGCACAAGATGTTTACTCATTGAATTGCATTTCCTGTATTTTGTATTTAATGCCACCAACTGATTTACTTGCAAGATTATGTGTGGATCATGAATTTGTTTGTCCCAGAGATGTCAAAAAGACTACTGGAGTATTAAGACGGGCTTAGTTACAAAACTGTCTTGCACAAGAGAATATGGCAGAATGTTTTGTTGATAGTTTCATGCTCTCATTCTGTCACTGACTGATATCTTCTGAAGGCTTCTGCTCAGTAGCTGTCTTCAAGGGAGATTACAGCCACTATCACATACAGACTGGAGTCTCTAATGGCAGTGTGCTCTGACATATCCTCCTGCTTATGTCATTTATTTTTACGTGAAGTTCAAATATCACTGTTAGGATGTTGTAATCCCCAAAACCCATGAAAGGGTGATAGGTATTTGCCTAAAGCCCCCCATTATTATTGATATAATTGTCTCTCTGTGATAGTGAGACAGTGATAATATGGTAACAAAAACAGTAACACTGATTTTAGGTCAAAGACAATGTAAACCATGATTTTCCAACAGGAAACTTTAACTATTGCTCCTAAATACTTTCAGAAGGGAATCTTGTGTAGAAATGATGTACATTTCTGCATATTGAACATTTATTACTGATCTGTGCATTCTGCTATATTGAATTCAAAGTGCAATGTAAAGATAAAATATCAGTTCATTGATAACTAATTCTGAATAATCATTAGTGGTATTTTCCTGTAATCAACTGGCTTTACTTATAAAGGTCGATTTATGTACCAACCTCAATAGCATTATGATGTTGCTGTATTATTGCACTTAATGTAATCTTTGGGTGTGGTGAGATTAACTTTGACCAGTGCAACAAAGATTTTCTGCGTTAAGGATAAATATGGACTTATACAAATAATAGTTGAGAAGAGTGTGGCACAGTTAAATCATGTTTTGTACATTCATATGATCAAAGAAGTAGTGACAAAGACATTCCCCACTGGGCAATTTAGTTCATCTACTTTTATGACTTGAAAATCTTGTCTTAAAAAATTCTGAGCTAACTTTCCTAAATGATAATAATCATCTATGAAAAAGCAACACACTTATGTGCACGTTGTTGTACATAAAACAAACCCCTTTCTGACAACAAGGGACCCGAGACACAAAGCTTTGTGCCGTTGTGCTGTTTAAGTGCTAAACTTTAATCAGAATTTTTTTTTTTCATATTCTAATTTATTTTCGTTATTTTGGTTCATTCACATATGTCTGTGTCCTTTGACCTTTTGCCTTTATTTTAAAGGCTTATCTATAAGTCAGTGCTCTCCTTTCATATTTTTATTCTTGGTAAAAAGGCATGATGGGTATTATTTATTTACTACTTTTTATAATATATATGTATTACTTTCTTATATCAATTTTTCAAGAGATGGAGAATCACTAAAGTTTGCAGATCATATGGTAGCCATCAATGTTTTTTTCTTTTTTAAAACAGTTTACATAATTCAAGTGTACAACGTGTGTGAGTCAAAGTAATAGGAACATTTCTACCAGCAAGCATTTCAGGAAGGCTATGACTTTACCTCTCATGTGTAACTGTAGGGGATAGGGGTCCTTCTGTACATCATCTTCATCCTGCAAAGAAACACAATGTTAAAAGCAACATTAATGGAAAAAGAGCAACTAAATTATGTCTCAACTGAAGCTCAAAATAGCCTCATATGAAGATACACTTTATTACAATGTGCAAAAAATAAAATAAAATAAATAGATATTAACACTGTTCTGCACATGTGTGTTTGCAGTTTTTTTTTCAGTTTTTTTTTGTGTTTTTTTTCCTGAGGGTGTCTGTCTTTCTCTCTCTTTGTGTCTGCATGCATGAAGTCATCTCCCCAGAGAGATGAGGTCATGCAAGAGGAGGAGAGAATGACAGTCAGGACCACTGAATATATTATTTAAATTTTTTGATTTAATCTCCCCATATAACAGCAAATTTTAGAAACACATAGAATTTCATAAGAGGTTTGTATCATTTCACATCTTTTAAACCAAACAAGAACAATGGTTTTCATATGGACTCCAGGTCTGATTAAATTTTGTTTGGTTTGAGCACAGTGAAATCAGAATTAGCTTCAAATTTCTCACAGACAAGTGACTCTAATAATGCCTGTTGTCTGCTGCTGTGGTCCACTGACAGACTAACGCGCTGATGCATGACACAGCAATGCACCAATGTGTAACAAAGCATTTGAACAACCACCAGCTGGCACTAGTAGGCTAACACATGCACATCACACAACAATATATTTTACAGTATATATGTAAACTATGCATTGAATGGGCTCAGGTTTGGTGTTATTGAAGAGGAAAATTTGATTTTTTTTCTCTCTATTCCTAATCACACATTGTCCTGGTTGTAAGCACGTGTCTTCCCCTAATACCTGAAATATAAAATGACTCCTAAATAAACCATATAGACTGCAAAGAAGAAGAAGAAGAAGAAGAATAATATGTATCCTAAACATTTTAGGGGATTAAGAGTGTCAGGACACATGGATACAGCTGGCTTTGTCTGTAGAATTCACAGAAACCTGCATCCCTCCCCCTCTGCTTCTTTGCTGTGCGCCTGCTTGCCTTCAGCACCATGGCCAGCAACCAGCCTAATGGAGCCACGTTGCCATGGTAACGCGCTGTCCTCTCTCTGTAGCTCTGACACTGTAATTTATTATTCCGACAAGCCCCCACAGCACTCCACAGTGCAGCATCCGCAGCTTGCAGACATCAAATAAGCATGCTCTGCAAAATAACACCTTTTCCTTTGTTTCACGGTGGTTCATGATAATGTAAATGAGGCGCTTTGACAGTCTGGTATCATTGCCGCAGCAGGGGTAAATCGATGGAGGCAGATATGGGAGGAGGTGATGCGGAATGCCGCAGAGCTCATGCACGCGCACGTATATGTTTGGCCTAAATCCAGGACCAGTACGTCAGCAGTAGCAGGTGGGAGGGGTGCGAAGACTTGAGGTTTATGTAGGTCACTTTGATTTCTAATTGCTGTTAGTATGGTCGTTATTTTATATATTCTCCCTTAGTTTATTATGCATTTCCCCACCCACTGCTGTAGTGCGGTAAGGCTGCTGCAAAGGGAATGCATCAAGATTATGTATGAACACTGTGTACCATACAAGGGGGCGCATCATAGCTGCACTTGCAAGTTTATTCCATACGATGTCACTGCTCACCTCTGCAAAAGGATAACGATTGTGGGAGTGTGCTGAGCAGAACACAGAGTGCAAGCAGAGAGAATGTGAACAGCCTCAGTAACAGCACAGCAAAACTAAGTAAAGCTTGATTTTATGCGTCAGTCATATTCTAATATTTCAAAAAAAAAGGTTGTATTTTTTCTTCTGAAAAACAACCATGTAATTAATCTCCAAATCTTGAGAGAAGTAGGATCAACAGTTCAGCTGCTACACAAAATATTCATTAAAGAAAATAATTGCCTGATTCTTCAAGAACTGGAAAGGAACTTGACTTGTCTTTTAGATTCACGTCGGACCTTAAAAAAAAAGTCCAGTTGCTTTTAACTGAAGCTTCTAGCCTTACCATGAGCTGGAGGACTAATAATCTACACAGACACGGATAGCAAAATTGTCAGTAATAAACGAAAAAATTGTGGGGATTTGTTTTTAACTTTTCCTAAAGTGATCATGTTTTTCACATTACTTAGTACCACATTGTATCGTTCTTTCCAGGAAATGTTTTAAAACTGCAGTATTGTTGCTGCTATTATTCTTCTTGCAGAAAAGAAACTAAAAATTGCTGAAATTAGTTGGCTTTCACCTTGATACTTTAAGTTACTGTCTGAAGAAGTAAAACTGGAATTTACTTTCTTTATCGTCTCATCAACTGTGACGATGTTAAAGATAGACTTGTTTTTTACTCAAAGAAATTTTGACAAATGTTACTGGCTATTAGTGTAAAAAAAAAAACTGGAATGAAACGGAGAAAAAAATGAATACATTTGAATATTTTAGAAATTTCTGAAATTTAAGTTTCATTCTAATTTGAAATATTCATCGTGCTTTTCAGAATCTGCCTGCAACAATATTTACCACACGCTGTAATGTTCAAACAAAACATCTGGTGTGATTGCAATTTCCATATAGAGCATCTATTGTCTAACTCCAGATTCAGTGTTGTACCTAAGAAAAACCACACAGGATAAACTGGAAGCAAACATTTTAGCGTCACTGCAGCCTCGTTGCGGTGTCAGTAGGTGGTGCTGTTACACTATATATCGTGATAGTGGTCGTGTGTGAGGAGGTATCTTTATTCTACGTTCGTGTAGATTCATAATAACCCACAGACAGGTTGAAAGAATAAGCGGCTCTCCCTTTTCTGCCAGAATGATGGTTCTCCCGGACTTCTGCTGTTTATCTTGAAACTAAAAAATTATTCAAATTTTGTTGAAGGATTTAAGGCCGCCGATTAAAAGGTTGTTTTGCCAAACAATGGAGATACGGGACGTTAACGGACAGTGGAGGGATTTGTGGGTTTCTTTTTGTCTTGCGCTGCTGATGGTGGCTAAACTGGAAGGAATATCTGCTCAAATACGATATTCCATCCAGGAAGAATTGAAATCGGGGACAGCAGTTGGAAATGTAGCCAAAGACCTCGGGTTGGATGTTGGAAGACTGGCGGATAGGAATCTTCGTGTCGTGTCAGGAACAAAGCAGGATCTGTTTAAGGTAAATCCCAGAGATGGCGTTTTGTTGGTGAACCAGAGGGTAGACAGAGAAGAGCTGTGCGCAAAAACGGTTCCATGCATCACAAATCTGAAAGCAGTTGTAGAAAACCCCCTCGAAATGCACCAAATAATAGTCGAGATACTGGATGTAAACGACAACTGGCCGAAATTTCCCGAAGAAAACTACACATTGGAAGTGTTGGAGTCCGCCGTAGTTGGTTCTCGGTTTCAAATGGAAGGAGCGCACGATTTGGATGTCGGTTTGAATTCCCTACATTCATATAAGCTAAACCACAACCAGTATTTTCGCTTGGAAACCGAGGAGTTTGGCGAGGATGCAAAGGTTCCATTCCTCGTCTTACAGCGACCTTTGGATAGAGAACACACTGCTCAACACCGGTTACTATTAACGGCTACAGATGGAGGGAAGCCATCAAAATCTGGTACTATTAATATCACTGTTGTTGTATCTGACGTAAATGACAATCCACCAGTGTGTGATAAACAAAAATACACCGCAACAATAAGAGAAAACGTCCCTCCAGGGACATTTCTGCTGACAGTAAATGCATCTGACTCAGACGAGGGCGCAAACGGTGAGATTGAATATTCCTTAAGGAGCAAAATTAGAGGACTGTCATCTGAGCTGTTTGATTTGAATAGTAAAACTGGACAACTAACTGTGAAAGGACGCCTTGACTATGAAGAAAAGCAAGTCTACGAGATTAAAGTACTGGCTGCGGACAAAGGCGCCGTGTCTCTTTCCACACACTGCAACGTGGTGGTTAAAGTGGAAGACGTGAATGATAACCAGCCTGAAATAGACATCACGTCCCTTTCGAGTCGCATTCCAGAGGATGCACCTCCAGGCACTGTGGTGGCGCTGATGGGTGTCACGGATCTTGACTCAGGTGTGAACGGACAGGTGGTCTGCAACGTGCCGAGTAATTTACCTTTTGACTTAAAGCCATCCCCTGACGGGCAGTCATACTCTTTGGTTACCAAGGATTACCTAGATAAAGAAACAATGCATATGTATAACATTACAATAACAGCCAAGGACTTAGGGAGCCCTGCTCTGTCATCTACAAAGGTGATCCAGGTAGATGTGCTGGATGTTAACGATAATAGTCCTTTGTTTACTGAAAGTCCATATACTTTTTATGTGCCTGAGAACAACAAGGCGGGGATGTCAATTTTCTCAGTGAGCGCGACTGATGCTGATGGTGGAGAAAATGCAGTAGTCACATACTCACTGGATCGTAAGACTCCAGGACATACGATTGCCTCCTTTTTAAATATAAATGAAGCCAATGGCACGATTACAGCGCTGAAAAGTTTCGACTTTGAAACGCTGAAAACGTTCCAGTTCCAAGTGGTTGCCACAGATTCTGGAGCTCCGTCACTCAGCAGCAACGTCACAGTCAACGTGTTCATTCTGGATCAGAACGACAACGCTCCAGTCATCCTGTATCCACTCAGCTCCAACGGCTCTGCTGAAGGTGTGGAGGAGATTCCCCGCAATGTCAACGCAGGACACTTGGTCACCAAAGTCAGAGCCTATGACGCTGATATAGGATATAACGGATGGTTGCTCTTCTCACTGCAGGAACTCACTGACCACAGTCTCTTTGGTCTGGACCGATATACAGGACAGATCAGAACACTTCGCTCATTCACAGAGACAGACGAGGCTGAGCACAAACTGGTCATACTGGTCAAAGACAATGGAAACGTTTCACTCTCAGCTACAGCTACTGTCATTGTCAAACTTGTGGAGCCCAAAGAGGCTTTTGCAGCTTCTGATGTCAAAAGTGCAGCAAAAGACCAGGGAGAAGATGATATTATATTTTACCTGATTATAACTTTGGGCTCAGTTTCTGTACTTTTTCTCATCAGCATCATCGTGCTGATTGCAATGCAGTGCTCCAAATCCACAGACTATACTTCCAAATATCTGCAAGAGACCAATTATGATGGGACACTGTGTCACAGCATCCAGTACAGATCTGGAGACAAACGCTACATGTTAGTTGGACCCAGGATGAGTATAGGATCTACTATAGTTCCCGGCAGCCACGCAAATACACTGGTGCTCCCTGACAGGAGGAGAACATCTGAAGAGGTAAGTTTATTTTTAATTATTCACATTGCATATGCTCTCTCACAACATTATTTCGAAATGTATAATTGCTGTGTTTTAATTTGCTCTGTTGGCTCTGCTGCCGCTGTCCGTGGTGCTGAAACTTTGTGGCAACCGCTTCAGTATTTTCTCAGTGCATTCAGTGGCAGGTAAAGCAATAATATTTACACCTGTAGCTGTAAATGAAGGTTGTTTTGACAGTTAAGTTAGTATTCTTGTCTTGCGTCCAGCCATGTATTTTATATTATTCAAAGTGAGGTTCGCAGTGTATTTTTATTTTATTTTATTTAACAAAAGACATATCCAATGTGCATTTGACCAGCTGGGGGGAGGCAGACCACAGATTCCTCTACAGAGTAAGACTAGTAAATGTGAAAGTCCCGAGAGAAGGACGCTGTGAAGAAAACACTTGTTCTTTCGTGTTGTAGCTCAGTAGCCACTTGGTGTCAGTGTGGCCTCGACAATGGTTGTGTTCCTCATCTTGTTCAGGCCCTGCCCATCTCTGGATCATCTCTGATGGAGGTGGTGCACTGACGGGACACGCTTCGCAGGCTCTATATCACATAATATGAATAGCGGTTAATATATACACGGCGGATTTGCTTGTATTTGGAAATCGTGACATGGTTCTCCTCAGACGGGTTCGATGAGCAGTTGGATCACTGTATTTGCTTCGTAGAAAGCCTTCGCATAATTGTTTTGCAATGGGGGAACGAGGACAAAGGCGCCGAGGGAGCTGCTGGTGGGTTGCCGGGATTTCATTGCTATGCTTTGTGGAGCTGATTTTGGCTCAGCTAAGGTACTCTGTTCCAGAAGAAGTTCAAGTTGGATCCTCAGTTGGAAATGTTGCCAAGGATTTAGGGCTTGACATTAGCTCTTTGACAGGCAGAAGATTTCGTATTGTTTCGGGTCCAAATCACGCTCTGTTTCAGCTGAATCAGAACAATGGAGTGCTCTACGTTGGCAAAATTATGGACCGCGAGGAGCTATGTGATGGAACCAAGGTTTGTTTGATAAACCTAAAAGTCGTTGTTGAAAACCCGCTGGAAATACATTACGTTGGAGTTGAAATAACCGATGTTAACGACCATTCACCGACTTTTCCAGACACCGCACAGCGATTGCAAATAGCAGAGAATACTCCTCCAGGTACTCGTTTCCAAATTCATGCCGCCAGAGATCCTGATTTCGGGACACAGTCAGTGCGATTATATAAACTAAGTCCTAATGATTTTTTTGATATTGAAGTCAGAGACAGTGAAGAAGACAAGATACCGTTTATAGTACTGAAGAAGCCTTTAGACAGAGAGCAAAAGGTAGAGCATCGTTTGGTGTTAACTGCTCTTGATGGGGGGAGTCCCTCTAAATCTGGAAACCTTAATTTAACTATCACCGTGCTCGATGCAAATGATAATCGACCAGTGTTCAGCAAAGATGTATATACTGTGTCATTAGATGAAAACGCCCCGATAGGAACCCTTGTAATAAAATTAAACGCTACAGATTTAGATGAAGGCTCAAACAGCGAAATTGAGTACAGCTTTGGAAAAACACAAAAGAAAAAAGTGCATGACACCTTTGAATTAGACAGTGTCACTGGTGAGATTCGAGTGAAAGGAAAAATTGACTTTGAGGAAACTGAGCTTTACAGACTAGATTTGCAGGCTTCAGATAAAGGCCAGCCACCGTGGACAGCCGAAAGTAGAGTGGTCATAAAAATAAAAGACGTGAACGATAATAAACCAGAGATTGAAGTGACATCATTGTCCAACTTAATCCCTGAGAACTCAAAGCCTGGAACTGTTATCTCTCTCATCAGTGTAACAGACAGAGACTCAGGGCTTAATGGAAAAGTGATTTGTAAAATGTCTGATGATGTCCCGTTTGATTTGACTCCCTCCATTGAGGAAAACATGTATTCTCTTGTCACAAAGGGGCGGTTAGACCGAGAAACTGTGTCTCATTATGACATCACAATAACAGCCACTGACTGTGGTGAACCTCGACTTTCGACTGTAAAAACCTTAAGTGTTCAGGTGTCAGATGTAAATGACAACATTCCAGTTTTCAGTCAGAATCCGTTTGAACTTTACTTGGTGGAAAACAACACTCCTGGTGCATCAATATTTTCTGTCAGTGCTTCTGATAACGATCTGAATGAAAATGCAGCAATTACATACCACATTGTGAGGGGTGATGGGCAGCAGGGTGACATGACGTCTTTCCTGAATGTCAATTCGGAAAACGGACAAATTACAGCGCTGAAAAATTTCGACTTTGAGACGCTAAAAACGTTCCAGTTCCAAGTGGTTGCCACAGATTCTGGAGCTCCGTCACTCAGCAGCAACGTCACAGTCAACGTGTTCATTCTGGATCAGAACGACAACGCTCCAGTCATCCTGTATCCACTCAGCTCCAACGGCTCTGCTGAAGGTGTGGAGGAGATTCCCCGCAATGTCAACGCAGGACACTTGGTCACCAAAGTCAGAGCCTATGACGCTGATATAGGATATAACGGATGGTTGCTCTTCTCACTGCAGGAACTCACTGACCACAGTCTCTTTGGTCTGGACCGATATACAGGACAGATCAGAACACTTCGCTCATTCACAGAGACAGACGAGGCTGAGCACAAACTGGTCATACTGGTCAAAGACAATGGAAACGTTTCACTCTCAGCTACAGCTACTGTCATTGTCAAACTTGTGGAGCCCAAAGAGGCTTTTGCAGCTTCTGATGTCAAAAGTGCAGCAAAAGTTGATGATGACGACAACGTGACTTTTTATCTAATGATAACTTTGGGCTCAGTTTCTGTACTTTTTCTCATCAGCATCATCGTGCTGATTGCAATGCAGTGCTCCAAATCCACAGACTATACTTCTAAATATCTGCAAGAGACTAATTATGATGGGACACTGTGTCACAGCATCCAGTACAGATCTGGCGACAAACGCTACATGTTAGTTGGACCCAGGATGAGTATAGGATCTACTATAGTACCTGGAAGTCATGCAAATACACTGGTGCTCCCTGACAGGAGGAGGACATCTGAGGAGGTAAGGCATTGTTTCTATTTCAATGTACATAGTCTTTGGTCATAAAGAGATCAACTATTCGTAATAGACATGATTACATTTAGAAACACATGAAGCAATGACTGTTCACTCTATACAGAAAAAGTTCTGAAATATTTCTTCTTGTTTTGATCTAAGCCTTATCTTGAAATGAGAATAAAATGACATAACAGCTATTTCACAAGGACTGTACATTGTGTTTAGCTGCAGTTTACTGGATATATTTGCAGCAGTTTTTAAGTCTACTCAAGAAACACTAAGTCTGCTCCTCAAAAACAATGTTGAACAAGTGTAGAGACATATTTATTGGTGCTCTCCATGGTACTGAAAAATGCTCATGCTTGGTCATATTGTGGTGATTTTCAAGTCAAACTGCAAGTCTTTGTCTAAATATTTATATTTTCACTCATGGATTGTATTAGTTAAACCACTGAGTGTTTTGTTTAGCATATTTTATACAGAAAAATGAGTTTGCTGTGGGATGGAACATTGGTGGTACCTTGTCTGTAGTTTCACGTGGTTCCCATTTATCGACTGTATTTTGAAAGTGTTTAGGTTGCCGCATGAAGCTTGACTGAGGAATATTGTCCATGAAATCGCACCGAATCTGCAGACAATATTACCAGTCGCATTTTTGTAAGAGTATTCAGTGCACACTTAACTACTTTTCGCGAAGCACAAAACAATATTAGAAGTACCACTGATAAACATTAAAGCACATTTTCACGGTTCTGATGACACAACATATAAAACAGTTTAAAATGTTTTGCTGGTTGTCAAACTGTACGAAAACAAAGAGAAACAAGCTGCCTGAAATAGTAAAAACAAGAGAACCTAAAATCTGCCATCTCAGATCACTGCAAGCGGGAGAACCATGTGATGAATTGGGAAGACGCGAGGATCATAGGGACTGAGGAGCATAAATACAGGCGCTGGATCCGGGAGGCCATTGAAATCAGGAAGTGAGGCTCACACAATCAATAGAGATGATGGAGCGTTCCTTCTATCCCACACCTGGGACGCTCCGCTCCAGAGACCACCGCGCGGCGGTAGGTGTGGCCAAACTGACACACCCACTGGATCTGTCAGATTGGCCATACCTAGGATAAACAGCTGATACAGACACGTCACACACGTCAGATGACACTTCTGAAGAAGGCGACAGATGGAACGCCGAAACATGTCAAGGTACAGCTAACAATTTCATGCCATTGCCCTATTACAAAGAAATTCTTAAGTCTACTTGTAAAAACAATTCATCATTTGAATAATGGTTTAAAAACCGTCAGCAAAAATATAAGTTCTTTGCAGCAGTCAATCTACAATTTGCGCCTACACTGATACTGTTCTTGTAGATTGTGTCACGGTTCGCTTTATAAATAGATGATAATGTGTCCAGTCCACAAGGTGTCAGTATCATATCAGCATAAACTGATGAGGTACAGTGGTGGCCCTGCCCCTTCTAGAGTCGTTTTGTTCAGGTCGACAGTGAGGAGACGGTACCCGCAACAGAATGAAGGGTTGCTGTTATTGGTACATGGATACGTAAGAGATATGGAATATATTTGAAACAAATTTTGTGGTTTTCACATCTTCCGTTGGTGCAAGGACATTTAAGTGGATATATTATTAAATATCTAACCGAAACGATGGGAGCAGGAGGACAAAGACGAGGAACACAGTCCTGGTGGGTAGCCCTCAGTTTCTCTGTGATGCTCTGCTGCGTGGAGCGGGTTTCTGCTCAGATAAAATATACAATTCAAGAGGAAGTAAAAATAGAATCTGTTGTTGGAAATGTGGCCAAGGATCTGGGCTTGGACATCAGCTCGCTTGTGGAAAGGCAATTTCGTATTGTCTCTGGGACTGAGGATGGTCAGTTTAAAGTAAATCCGAACAATGGCGTCTTGTATGTGCATAAAAACATCGACAGAGAAGAGCTCTGTGAAAACATCTCTCCATGTATAAAGAACTTAAAGATGGTCGCTGAGAACCCCATGGAGATACATTATGTGGGAATTGAAATTATAGATGTAAATGACAATTCGCCCAATTTTCAAGAGGAGGAGCACATAATCGAAATCTCTGAGTCCACACTTCCAGGCAGACGCTTCCAGTTACCAACTGCGCGCGATCCAGATGTTGTCATTAATACAGTACGTGCGTACAAAATTAACCAAAACGAATATTTTAGTGTACAGATACGAGAGAGGGGAGAAGACAAGATACCATTTTTAGTTTTGCAAAAGTCTCTGGATCGGGAAAAGCACCAGGAGCTCAGACTGACTCTGACAGCAGTTGACGGTGGAAATCCACCAAGATCAGGAACTCTTAATGTCACAGTCATAGTCCTCGATTCAAATGACAACCATCCGACATTTAGCCAGGAAGTATATTCAGTTACAATACCTGAAAATGTAGAAGCAGATACCAGTGTGATCACAGTAACGGCAACTGATTTGGATGAAGGTGCAAATGGAGAGATTGAGTATTTTTTTGGTGGTCAACTTGACCGAAAGATTTATGACTTGTTTAGTTTAAATAAAGAGACTGGTGAGATTCGAGTAAAGGGAGAAATTGACTTTGAGAAGGCTGATGTTTATAAATTAGATGTCCAAGCAACTGACAAAGGACAACCTCCCATGAGTGCAGATTGCAGGGTGATCATCAAAGTGCTCGACAAAAATGATAATAAACCTGAAATAGAGGTAACATCTCTGTCGAATACGGTATCAGAAAATTCAAAACCTGGAACCGTCGTTTCGTTAATCAGCATCACAGATCAGGACGCCGGTCTAAACGGTAAAGTCATCTGCAGTCTGTCAGAAAATGTACCATTTGATTTAAAACCATCATTTCAAGATAACATGTATTCCTTAGTTTTGAAACAACATTTGGATCGAGAATCGGTTCCGCACTACGATATCACAATAACAGCTACAGACTGTGGACAGCCTCCTCTGTCCACATTCAAAACTCTGAGTATTGATGTATCGGACGTGAATGATAATATGCCGGAATTTCAGCAAAATCCGATTGAACTTTATCTGGTAGAAAATAACGTGCCTGGAAATACAATATTTTCAGTTTCTGCTTCAGATAAAGACTTGAATGAAAACGCTGCTTTAACTTATCATATAGTCCGAGATGAAAGTAGTCAAATGAAAAATGCAGCATTTTTAAATATCAATTCAGACAACGGACACATCACAGCGCTGAAAAGTTTTGATTTTGAAACGCTGAAAACGTTCCAGTTCCAAGTGGTTGCCACAGATTCTGGAGCTCCGTCACTCAGCAGCAACGTCACAGTCAACGTGTTCATTCTGGATCAGAACGACAACGCTCCAGTCATCCTGTATCCACTCAGCTCCAACGGCTCTGCTGAAGGTGTGGAGGAGATTCCCCGCAATGTCAACGCAGGACACTTGGTCACCAAAGTCAGAGCCTATGACGCTGATATAGGATATAACGGATGGTTGCTCTTCTCACTGCAGGAACTCACTGACCACAGTCTCTTTGGTCTGGACCGATATACAGGACAGATCAGAACACTTCGCTCATTCACAGAGACAGACGAGGCTGAGCACAAACTGGTCATACTGGTCAAAGACAATGGAAACGTTTCACTCTCAGCTACAGCTACTGTCATTGTCAAACTTGTGGAGCCCAAAGAGGCTTTTGCAGCTTCTGATGTCAAAAGTGCAGCAAAAGTTGATGATGAGGACAACGTGACTTTTTATCTCATGATAACTTTGGGTTCAGTTTCTGTACTTTTTCTCATCAGCATCATCGTGCTGATTGCAATGCAGTGCTCCAAATCCACAGACTATACTTCTAAATATCTACAAGAGACCAATTATGATGGGACACTGTGTCACAGCATCCAGTACAGATCTGGAGACAAACGCTACATGTTAGTTGGACCCAGAATGAGTATAGGATCTACTATAGTACCTGGAAGTCACGCAAATACACTAGTGCTCCCTGACAGGAGGAGGACATCTGAAGAGGTAAGACCATGTTTGATTATACCTGGAATTGTTTCAACGTTCTGAAAAGATAGTTTACTTCTCGAAGATTTAACAGTTGAAGTCATTTTAATGTCTCTTCATACCGTTCTTGAAATGAGCGGTTGGCGTGTTTGGGCACAGCGCTCCCTTGCTATCAAAGGTCCAACACCTCAGCCCTGTCCCTGTCTCCATCCGGCTTGTGGCTGCGGCCGTATTGTCAATTGGTTGGTTATGCTGCACCAGACAACACCTGTCACCACACCACATCCATGCATCCAAAACCACGCTTCTGATGCTACTGATTCACACACCTCACACTATTATTATTGTTATCATCGGTATTATGAGTAGTATTATTTAAATAAATGAATGAATGAATGCGTGGAGTTTGCATGTTCTCCCCGTGCAGCGTGGGTTCTCTCCAGGTTCTCCGGCTTACTCGCACAAGGTCCAAAAATATGTTGATGTTAATTGGTGATTCCAAATTGTCCGTAGGTGTGAATGTGAGTGTGCTTGGTTGTCTGTCTTAAGTGTAGCCCTGCGATAGACTGGCGACCCGTCTTAGCCTACATGCCGGGTTATGACAAAATATGTTGTAATGTGATCGGCTGTTCACGGTGCACAGTTGCAGTTCAGTGGATACATGGTGTGGGTTTTTGAATTATGTTTTGACTTTCAGGTTTGACTACTTCTTTTAGGAATAGCTTTTGGTTCATATTATTATACATTTCATTTTAAAATATATAGTCATTATGTGTATGTAGTCGCTTTCCATGGTTCTGAAATGCCGATTTTTATTTATTTATTTTATTTTGTTTATCAAGCAAAAGGGGGTTCATATAGATATAGACACAATTACTCTGGGAATATCTGGGCAATCGATTTTCCAAAGCTGCTCTGTAAACAGTCCACTAATAACTCGCTTGAAAATATGGAGTTGGTGGCGACTACATCTGCTTTATTACTCAAAAATTGAAAATGGTCCTTCATGTCATTCAGATATACACTACATTTGTGACTGATTGTGACTGATTGCCATAGTAAATAAACAAAGCTCACGATTTGTAAGCAAACTGAAGATAATAAGACAAGTAATAATCTTAGAAACGCGGATAAAAAAATACCTGTTCCGGGTTGTCCATTTGTATGTCGCTTTGTGTAGTATACTGTTGTAGTGGCTACATTGTAATATCGTGTCAGGAACTTACTACGTGTGTTTTGGACAAACAAATATAGTGTTTCCTTGAGTGTATAAAATCTATTGCGTTCCTTTAAAAACCTCCGGGTGTCACTGCAGCACTGAAAACGATAGTTGTCCCTCCCCTTGAAAAGCCTTTGTTTGGCAGATAGAGGAATAAATGCATTTGAACCGCGCTCTCTGACGGATTCATGATGTGCGTTCCGTGGAAATGCTTTATTTAGCAGCGTCAACGTAGAGGATTTTTGGCCGCAGAATTGGCGTTTCTTGTGTTGTCTTTGCCTAAAACGATGGGGATTTTTAAATCAAATCGAATGAGGGAAAATTATCAGTTTGCGTTTCGGATGATTCTATTGCTGCTTTTCGGAAAGCAGGCGTTTGCTCAGATAAGATACTCTGTTCCAGAGGAGGTAAAGGAAGGAACTGTTGTTGGAAATGTTGCAAAGGACCTTGGCCTTGACATCGCCTCTTTAACTGATCGACGGTTCCGTGTTGTCTCTGGATCGAAGGATACATTTTTTGACGCAAACCAGGATAATGGAGCTCTCTATGTGCACAAGAAAATTGACAGAGAGGAGCTGTGTCAGGGTGGTGGTACATGCCTGATGGAGCTCAAGATCATAGTGGAAAACCCTTTGGAAATGCACTACGTTATTGTGGAAATTACAGATGTAAACGATCACTCACCTAGTTTTCCCGAAAAAGAGCAGATGTTTGAAATATTTGAACAAACATTGCCAGGGAGACGATTTCAGCTGCACACTGCTCGTGACCCCGATGCTGGAATTAACTCTATTCGTACCTACATGTTAACGTCAAATGAACATTTTGAAATAGATATCCGTCAAAGCGATGAGGACAAAATACCATTTTTAGTGCTGAAGAAGTCCTTAGATAGAGAACAACGAAGGAAACACTTGCTAGTAGTGACAGCAGTTGATGGAGGTAAACCTCCCAGATCAGGAACACTGAATGTTTCTATTATTGTTCTTGACAGTAATGATAACCGCCCAACATTTAGTCAAGAGATTTACACAATTGAAATACAGGAAAATGTTCCAATTGGAACGTCCGTATTTCAAATGAATGCCACGGATCCAGATGAAGGCACCAACAGTGAGACTGAATACAGCCTTGGAAAAACACTAAAGAAGAGAGTCTATGATATTTTTGAACTGGACAAATTAACTGGAGAAATAACAGTAAAAGGAGTGGTGGACTTTGAAGAAAACAACGTTTATAAACTGGATGTTGAGGCATCAGACAAAGGAACACCTCCACTGACCGGTGAGTGTAGAGTCATCATAAAGATTAAAGATGTTAATGATAATCCACCAGAAATAGAAATCACATCACTGTCAAATACAGTGTCAGAAGAGTCAAAGCCTGGAACAGTCATTTCACTACTTAGTGTAACAGATAAAGATTCTGGAGTTAATGGGAAAATAATATCAACCATAACTTCAGATGTGCCTTTTGAGTTAAAGCCATCATATAAAGAAAACATATATTCAGTAGTCACTAAGGGACTTTTGGATCGAGAGGAAGTGGCACATTATGAAATAACGATAAAAGCCACAGACTGTGGTGAGCCTCCTTTATCTACTTTTAAAACACTCAGTATCCAGATATCAGACGTGAATGACAACAGTCCACAATTTTCACAAAATCCATTACACTTTTACTTGTCAGAGAATAATGTTGCTGGAGCGTCAATATTCTCTGTAAAGGCAACGGATAAAGATGTGAACGACAACGCAGCTATTTCATATCATATTGTGAGGGAAGGGAGTCAGAATGACGTTTTGTCCTTCCTCAATGTGAACCCAGACAATGGACACATCACAGCGCTGAAAAGTTTCGACTTTGAAACGCTGAAAACGTTCCAGTTCCAAGTGGTTGCCACAGATTCTGGAGCTCCGTCACTCAGCAGCAACGTCACAGTCAACGTGTTCATTCTGGATCAGAACGACAACGCTCCAGTCATCCTGTATCCACTCAGCTCCAACGGCTCTGCTGAAGGTGTGGAGGAGATTCCCCGCAATGTCAACGCGGGACACTTGGTCACCAAAGTCAGAGCCTATGACGCTGATATAGGATATAACGGATGGTTGCTCTTCTCACTGCAGGAACTCACTGACCACAGTCTCTTTGGTCTGGACCGATATACAGGACAGATCAGAACACTTCGCTCATTCACAGAGACAGACGAGGCTGAGCACAAACTGGTCATACTGGTCAAAGACAATGGAAACGTTTCACTCTCAGCTACAGCTACTGTCATTGTCAAACTTGTGGAGCCCAAAGAGGCTTTTGCAGCTTCTGATGTCAAAAGTGCAGCAAAAGTTGATGATGAGGACAATGTGACTTTTTACCTGATGATAACTTTGGGCTCAGTTTCTGTACTTTTTCTCATCAGCATCATCGTGCTGATTGCAATGCAGTGCTCCAAATCCACAGACTATACTTCTAAATATCTGCAAGAGACCAATTATGATGGGACACTGTGTCACAGCATCCAGTACAGATCTGGAGACAAACGCTACATGCTAGTTGGACCCAGAATGAGCATAGGATCTACAATAGTACCTGGAAGCCATGCAAATACTCTAGTGCTCCCTGACAGGAGGAGAACATCAGAGGAGGTAAGGCCCTATTATAATATTAGCTTTATTGTCATTACCAATTTGCGCCAGAATGAAAATGTTTGCTTAAAATGCTTTTTTCATGTGTTGGATGAAAGCTTAAATAATGTTATGGTAGTTTGTAATTTTGGTTAAGATCATAGTAATTTGCTGTTGTTGACTCTCTTGCAAGTCGAAGGATGTTCAGACCATTATCTGAAGAACATCAACAAACATGAGAGCCTACTTTCTTTCGCTATCCGTGGTGCTGATTTGTACTGGTGGTGATTTTTATGTTCAGTGTTTCCAAGTTTGTAGTGCTGTCCACGGTGCTGAAATGTGTTCGTGAACTCGGATTTACAGTACACATTATAACCCAACTACAAATTAGACAAACTATTTGTCTAAACCCGGGTTATAATGTGCATCGTCCACATGGGGTCAGTGTAATATCAGCATCAAACTGCTGTGTTACAGTGAAGGCCCTGCCCCTTCCAGAGAGGCATTGTTCAGGTCGAAAAACAGGAGACGGCGCCTGCCGAAGATAGACGTGTGGACGCTGAGACATTTTAACATATGATAAGCCAAAAAATTGGCATATCAGTTCCTTAGCATCTGTTGGATTAAATGCCTTTCCTTATCTAGAGGAGCCGCACGTGAATACAATGGGGACAGGAGGACAAAGACGAGGAACACAGTCCTGGTGGGTAGCCCTCAGTTTCTCTGTGATGCTCTGCTGCGTGGAGCGGGTTTCTGCTCAGATAAAATATACAATTCCAGAGGAAGTAAAACTTGAATCTGTTGTTGGAAATGTGGCCAAGGACCTGGGCTTGGACATCAGCTCGCTGGAGGAACGACGATTTCGCATTGTATCTGGGACTGAGGATGGTCAGTTTAAAGTAAATCCGAACAATGGCGTCTTGTATGTGCATAAAAACATTAACCGAGAGGAGCTCTGTGAAAATATCTCTCCATGTATAATAAACCTGAAGATGGTCGCTGAAAACCCCATGGAGATACATTATGTAGGAGTTGAAATTATAGATGTAAATGATAATTCCCCGGGTTTTCAAGAGGAAGAAAAAATATTAGAGATTCCAGAGTCTGCTCTTCCAGGCAGACGTTTCCAGTTACCAACTGCGCGCGATCCAGATGTTGTCGTTAATACAGTACGTGCGTATAAATTAAACCATAACGAATATTTTAGTGTACAGATTCGAGAGAGAGGAGAGGACAAGGTACCATTTTTAGTTTTGCAAAAGTCTCTGGATCGGGAAAAG